AACTACGTTTAATGTCTAAATTCACTTTGCAACTTCTTTCTTCAGAGTTACGTGTTTAATGGCAAAACCTAACAAAAGAGAATCAAAATTGATTTTTTTATGAGACAAAGCTAAAAATCCTGGAAGAGACAGCTGGTTGGATTTTCTGCAACGGTGTGGCTGCCAAACGCTGCAATATTAATAAATCATCATCTAAAACAAAATGTACAAGCCAAAAAAAAAAAAATCTGTTGATTGCAACAGCCATCATCAGCTCAATTAAATGATTATGACAGCACTGCATTCACCTGAACCTGTGGAAATTGTGTCAATAAAAGCACTGGGGCTTTATTAAAAGTGAATCTGACAGATCCATAGAAATGGTTGGTGCTGTTTGTCACTTCCTACTTACAGCTGACTTCCCCAACATTAACCTACCTGTTCCAGGTGCAGCACAGAGCATCAGTATGACAAATGTACAATGTTGAAATTGTCTATCKTTGTGCAACCATCTTATTTAGAAAGAAAAATCTACCAYAAAATTACTTTTTCCACACAAAACTTTGGAAAATCTAACTCCACGTCGTCAGCACATTTATGGAAAGTGTTTTCCTTGGCTATCCAAGCCTTAGCTTATAACTACAAAGCTTATATTTAAACAATGAAATAMTTTTTTTATTCCCAAGCTCGCCATTAAAACGTATTAAGACTAAATAGCAAGGGTAGAGCCCACCTATCACTAAGCTAAACGTGCTAACCTGATGTAAACTAGGAACTAAAGGGCAAGGTATCAGTTGGTTACTGTAGCGTGACCACGGCTGATAACGTCCATTTAAATTGGCCGTCAACATCATCAGCATTATTACAAAATTGTCAAGAATGGGGCATTAGTCTGTTTCTATTCACCGGTTGATCAGAACATGATGCAGTTTAGGCCTCAYTGGATTATCAAGCTAGTGAGCAATCCCCAATAGCATTAGCTAATAATTGGAACACTACGGAAACCCAAAAAGAGGTAACCGCTTATGCTCACTTTTAGAACGAAATATATCAACCATAAAATCGGCGTAACAAGTTGTCACGAACTGTGYGAGTTAGCGGACAGTCACACTGCTGCACTGATAACACAGTTAGCCCCAGCTAACTTAGCTGCTGACAGGCACAACCCCGGTGCWCTGAGAGGGCTGCCACTTCCTATGCAGCGCTAACACTCGGGAGTTCACATCGCGGATACACCCAAAACCACAAATTAATATGTACACGTAAAACACTTTCTCCATATTCATGACGACGTGCTATCTCTTCGATGTACTCACAAGCCGTAATGATGCCAGAAAAGAACTGGAATCGTCTCTATTAGCAATGAAGGGAGGAACACACTAGACATGCAAAATGGTGGCTACTCCAGCCTCAGCACATCTACCGCAGGCGGAGGATTACACTGACAGAGGTTGGTGAAAGAAGGTGTATGGAAAATCGGTTTATCATATAATAGTCATACGGGCGCTTCAAAGAAAATGCCTTCTTTAAAAAAAAATAAAAACAGTTCTAGAACGCCATTCCTCTCATCAGCACAAAGAGTAAAAAGAAAAATTATGTAGTTTGTTTTTTGACATTTATCATTTTAAATGAAAAATTTCACATTTTCAAAACTAAACATGCCATTAGGATTACTCATTGTTCAAATTCAAGAAAACGTTTCAAATATTAGTAACTGGTATAATGTTTAAAAGACAGTGTAGTGACAAATATCCATGAAAACAGTTTGGATAAATTATATATATA